AATGTGACATGAACAAAGAGGATCTAAACCTAACCTGCCTTTACCAGTCCTTCAAATGTATTTGAAGGGATAATGGCCCCTTTTTAAACCACTTAAAACTGTATGTAAATCAAGCCACTGAAATATTCAAACCTCACACTTTGAATATGGGCTGAAACACAATTTTTCCTGAAATGAATTGTTTCTTTCTTTGTAATCCCTCTTATGTCGCTAAACTTTATGAAAGTCAATAACCTCACTTCAAGTGAGAAATGGCATAAATAGCACATTTTTGTTACCATCTTTAAATCAAAAGTTAGGAAATTTTACAAACATACTTGGCAAAAAGGCAGACTATAAATATCAGCACAACAGCATCACATGAAAATCTCAGGTTCTATAAACAGTGAATCATTTTTAAATCAAAATGCAAGAAAATAACCAGGAACCACTTAGATATTTTAAATTCATTCAGTAGTCTGAACGACAACACAGAGAGAAAGAACATAAACCTAACCACACATGAAAATATTAAACAAGAATTATTTGAAAACTGATGATTGGAATTTTGAAAAATGACAGTGCAATCATTTGGAAGTAACAGCAATGAGGAGATCTTTCTTTGGCTGGAGTACTAGTGTTTCTCATTTATTTTGGAGTTAAGACTGAACAAAATTATAGTTTTCCAGCACTCTAATAACCAGAATGGGACTCAAAAAAATGTACAGGTAAATCATTCCATATTTTTACTTACTGTACCTCAGTCATTTTTTTCTTACAATAAAAGATTCATATTACGACTTTGAGGGCATGAACTCCTGCCTCCATAGGGCCTGCTTGAGTCAACAACAGCTAGCGTTAAGGGCTAGAAATCCCAATAGCTTAAAAATCTTCATTATCACAAGCAGGTCTGTAATTCAGAAATTTGAAATAAACTTTTTCCTCTTGAAGCTGTAACAACTTAGTTTTTTTCTTTCTGTAGTGCATCCAAAGCATTTATCCACATTTTTCCATTTTATCCTAAAAACTCATGAGGGAAGAATGAAAAATATCATCACCAGTTTATAAATGGAAAAACTGAAGCTTGAATAAAGTAAGCTGTTTGCCCAAGGTTAAATTCCAAGCAAGTTGTAGAGTTGATATTCAAACTTAAGTTTTCTTCCTGAACCCAATTCTTTCTCTCCCTATAGACTGCAGAGATAATTTTTTTTACCTTTACGTATGGTATGTTTTATCTGTTTTAAGACAATCCAGTTTCAGAAATATTAAAATGTAAATTATTATAAATCAGGGTCTGAGAATGGATGTAAATCAGTATAATTTTTGATGCTGTATGGGGATTTTTCCCAAAGCAAGCAAAGGTATAGGGAAAAAAGTTGCAAAAAAAAAAAAAAATCAATAAAACAAACTTGGAAAGAATTCAGGAGAATGAATATGGAAAAAGAAACAAACTTCTGAAATGACCCTTCTCATTTTAAGAGCACAGTTATTTATGTTCTTTACATTCTCAATTAAAACTATTCATATAAAGGAATATGTATTATATATATAAACTTAATACATATATTAAAAATCAGCAGTGCAACTCCTAAAAGCCTCTTCTTCTCTGCTTAGGAAGCACAAGGACATAAATTATACATCTTCTAAATGTTAACATATTTTAGAATAACCTTTATTTCATATTCTTAAAATTCCCCAGAAATCATACATACAATTTTAAAAAGTTTTTTGTGACTATTTGTCAAAACATTTTCAATCAAAAGTATTCTAAAAAAAAAACTATTAAACATAAAATAGACCGTTTCCCCAAAGTAATTTTCATTTGCATTTATATCCTAAGGATTATGAAAAAGATACACGCTATTTCTACATTTTCCCCAATTTCGTTATACCTTTTTCACTCCCCCAACTTCTCTAACCCACAAAGATGTCCCCTCGTCCTAAATTTTAAGGCACCTAAAGTCAGTCATTCCCTTATATCACATTTAATTGTCCCATTCCATGAATCCCAACTAGATCCTGTTTTCCCAGAGTAGGCAGGTATTTGCCTTTGTATGTGTTTATTACTTCCCACAGTTCTCAGCAGAGAATACACATTAGGCAAATGTTTATTGACTGAATAAAGCTCCTGAGGTCATATGGAGAAAAGACAGTAAATTAAAAAAAGAGGCTTCATAAAGCCATATTGATTTTAAAGCCCAGTTTGCTTCACTGATGTCTTCCCAAACTGAGAACAGTGCCTGTCATAAATAAATATTTATTGAGTAAAGAAACGTTCAGTTTCTTGAAATATACTGAAGTTCTGAAGCCAGTCCCTTACAACACCATGAAGGTACAAGGAAGAGAATTCTGCTTCTCCTCTTCCTACCATATCTATAAATAGTTTATATTCACTATACTAACTTATTCAGTACTAGGGATTCTATTGATTAAAATGACCAAACCATAAATAACAAGAATCAACTGCACCTTTGGCTAGTGACCAGAAGTCCATGACAAGTTTGGGGGATGTTCCTTCCATGCTATTTTAGTGACATGCTTTCTGGCTGGATCATGAATTCTGCTCTCATCTGAGGCTCACAGGCAGGCCACCTGAGCATGTCGACAGTCTGGCTCATAGAGTCCTGCAGGCCGTGGCCTTTACACCTGCCACTCCCATATGCAATCCTGGCTTTACTAACACTTTTAGAAATGACCTCAGACTCAATCCTGCAACTCTGTGCATATTTTAGAGGTAGTTACCCTGGTGGGATTGGAACCCATAAAAGGTCCAACTATTTGTACCTTAGAAAGAAATGTCTCCCAAGTCTTCAACTTCAACCCTGCCCCCAACTACTTCACATTTCTCATCTTAAATTGTTGAGGGAGAGATGAGGGAAGATACAAAACCTAAGTAAGAGTAGTGGCTCATTTTCATCATCTATTTAAGACTTAGTCCAATTTTTACCTTTCATTCACCTCCAATTTAAACTGCTGACCTTATTTAAGCTTGTTCACAATATATAAGAAGTAGACATTAATTCATCTTAAGAAATATCCTTTTTATCTAAAAAGTCTAGGATTTAAAAGGATGCTAACCATTTTATAACCTTGTGAATTTCTAATTAATTAAGGTTTACTGCATAGCTATTAAAATCAATAGAATACACTTTGAAGGTCAATAAGTTGGATTAGCTATAAAAGTCTTAAAATGTTCCTTTAGAATCACCTTTCTCCTCGCTTTCCTGATACATAGTAAATACAACTAGAAGTGACATATCTTGAAAACAACTAGACTTAAAAATAATTTGCCTTTTAATATATATTGCACATTAATCTATATAAATTAACTGTATTATATATATATTGCACATTAATTTATATAGACCCCTCAGTCAAGTAAGCATGCAAAGTAGACCTTCTACTGTAAGCAGACATTATAAGGCTAAGTGTAGGGTGAGCAGATGACTAAATCATGGGGGGGGCAAAAGTCAGGACACAAAATGGTGAATTCGAAGTTCTAAGCAGGCCATTCATGCTAATAAAAGAAAATACCTGGAGAATTGGTCAGCATTTAATAAACAATCAATATGATCAACATGCTTCAGATGAGACAAAGGTGGATTTTGCTCGGAAGCTTGATACAGCTCTCCAATTACAAGGAGCTGAATCACCAGGTGTTTTACAATTCCCCTCCCCCCATGTCTACTATCAGTGACCAAGTTGATTAGATTCCTATTAACTAGCCAGAAAAGCATACTTTATTCCACTGTCTCGCCTTCAAAGCTTTGCAAGCATGTTCAAATACAAAGGAACAGTAATGGTAAAACGATCCAGCCTCGCTCTCCTGTTGGTGACCAGAAGGCATCCTCTCCATTCCAAGGATGTAACCTAAGCTTGCACAGATGGCCTAGCTCTCTCCTAATACAGGGGAGGGGGCTTTGCTTTCAGGGTGGGTGCTGCAAACCGCCAGGTGTATTTATAGAAGGGAGCAAGATGAGGATGGAGGGAATGATGACAGAAGAAGTTTCTTCCACCTGGGAGAGAAGCCTGGGGAAAGATCTGGATCCCACAGTCTAGGTCCTATTCCTCACTCACCAACTACCAGCTATGTAAACTTATTAAAAACCCTTTTTGGTCTGTTATTTTACGTATAAAATGTAGACAATGGCCCTTGCCTCGGATGGCTGTCAGAACGAGAAACGAAATCCTCGGTTGTGGTAGGCAATCGATAAACCTCAGCCTGCTTCCCCATTCTCCTGTTCGCCCAGAATTGCGCCTCAAAAATCATAGAGATAGACTGCACCTTAAAACTAAAAGGCCCACGCTTGTTAGCAAAGAAATGACTTGGGTGGAGGCTTGCTTATTTACTGGAAGATTTCGCTTAAAATGGAGTTAGGATATTAATAAGACGGGAGACCACATCGAAAAAGCATCCAGTATGAGCAAACCGACAAGAAAAAAAGAAAAGAGAACCCTTAACGTAAGCACGAAACAAACTTCGGAAGCTGCGGATATCCTGTGAACCTACTCGGTGACCTCAATTCAAATCACAAGAGCACGGAGAGCTAACCTAGATGCACACTATCCATATGCCGCCTTGTCAGTTTCAGACCACGCTATTTTTGCAAAACTGTCCTCAAACCTGAGGCGGCTCTCCCGCCTCCAAACCCGCCCCAGATGGGTTTGGAAGCCAGGAGGGAGTATCAGAAGGGATAGCGATGGGAAAGTGGGAAGGTCTGGTCAAATGACTGAAAAACAAGGCGGTGGGTGAGGGGGCGGGGTACAGCAATGTGGCAGAGACGCGGCCAGTGAGCCAGAAAGACGACGGCTTCACAATGAGGGAAAGGAAGAGACTGCGACAAGCGCCGGCTCCTGGTCTCGGGCGGGCACTGATGGGGAGGCCAGGGGCGCGCAGAGCGTGGGAAGACGGGAAAGGGGTGAGGAATGAAGTCAGAGTCGCTGGTCAGGCAGGAAAAACGAGGAGCAACGGAGCAGGTGCAAAGCCCCCGGGAGGGGAGGAACGGGCTCAGGGTACTCACTGTGTAGAGCAGGTTCAGCGCACACAGGCAGTTCTTGGAACACGCGAAGCCCCCGCAAACCATCTTGGAGCCTGTGGTGCCTGCAACCGCAGGTAACCGTGGCTCCGGCGGAGCCTCCGGGACAGCCTCTTTGTCCTTGACTGTGGGACTTGGCCGAGGCCGAGGTGGGGGGCCCTGGGCTGGGGCTGCAGTGCGCTGCGCGCCCGCCGCGACTCGAACCCGCTCTGGAACCTGCGGCCGCAGCAGCTGGAGCCGGAGCCCGAGCCCCGCCCAGCACCCCCGCCTCGCCCCGCGCGCTGATTGGCCGCCGGCAGGGAACAAAGGTAGAAATATGCAAATAAATGCGCTCCGCCAGCCTGCAGCCGGGAGGGGCGGGGCAGCCCGGGGGAGAGGGGGAGGGGGCGGAGGCCGTAGGGGAACTAGCTCGAGGTCAGAGCGTGTGACAGTGGCCTCGCGGTCGTTTCCTGAGGAGCAGGTGAGGAGAAGAGGGCGGGGCTCGACGGAGATCC